TTAACCGGCATCTATCATAGATGGCAATACATAGATCTGTTGATTACGGAAGCTTCGGGACGCTGCTGACCGGTGTCACTAGTGGCAGTCTCATCTGTCATTGTGATCACATTGTGCCTGTGCTGTATTATGACTTGATCGCTGAATATCTTGCCCATCCTGCAACTAAGCAGAACAAGGACTGCCTGAGTGTGCTTACATGTGCAAATGCAGCGGGCACACACAGAATCAAGCTTAGTGGTGGGAAAAGTAAGTATAACTTTCAGATAACCAGCATATTTGATTAACCATCACCCCCCATTCCCCATGGATGCCAAATAACAGAGTTTTTTACTGTAGTAGTAAATCAAGACATGAATCTATAACATTGTTGTACATAGATCCACAATTGAGACAATAAAATCAAATCTAGTGCTAAAATGTATCACTCATTTCAGTAATAAAGGTTATTTAACTCTAATCGCTTCAGCCTTATAAGCAAATCCACTCCAGATTTTGGTTTTGTTTCCTTTATTCTCCATCTTTCTTTTTTGAGAACAAACAAATGCATGTGGTGCTCGGAGAAGCTCGTTTTCCAGGATTTAGAGTGGATTTTGAGTACAGAAAAATCCCACATGGATTCTGAGTACAGAAAAGGTTAACATTACCTAGTCATCCAATAGCCACCAAAAATAATAGCTGCTTAGGGCCTTCGACAGCATCAAGGAAGTTCCTAGGATGCCAATTTGAAATAACTCTTTACTTCTGTTTGCATTTAGAAGTAGCTCTGACTTAGGTAGATAGATTAATTAGTCTCTTCTTATTATATAGCATTTTTGGGAGTGATACCGAAGGGTAAGGCACTTGCAGCATATAATATAGTTTCATGTAGGACCTATTTAATAAACCCCTCCTCTGTTAAGAGTGGTTGACTCCTTCCGACCTTGTTGTCCACAACTCTACGTCTAAAGTAAGGTGGAATATCGCTTTTTCCAGCTGTGAAATGGGGATGAGTCTTACAAAACTCTAGGGATTTTTCAGTTTCATTAGCTAGGACAATTTGGGTTTTTTTGGGTGGAAGGTGCCATGTGGATGCAAATTATTACCCTTTGTTCCTTGTGTTTCTGCTCCTCTACAGTTAAGTGTAACAGTTGTGTTTTAAAAGAATCGCTTCAGGCACATCTGGAATGGCATTAGAAAGCCGGGTGGTTCTGGCTGGACAGTAACTAATGGAGTTGAGGTCTGATTTCTGGGCATTGTAATTTTGAGATCTCTTTTTTTTTGAGAATACAGCTGTTCATTGCCATTTTGTTTTCTTGTTTTGGTGTCTTCATGCCCTGGTGGCGAGTGCAAGAGTAATGCTGAGATCAGATGTGGATGTGCTTGGATGCCTGGCTGTACAGTGCAGTCTCCACAAGGCATCAGTGACTGTCGGGAGTTTGCACAGTGCTCGGGATCCTAAGCGTTTTTCAAAGCCAAGTCCAGTCTGCAAAGCTGCTTTTGGATGAATAATCCCATTAACAGCAGGGGGGCTGCTCTTGCCAGCAGGGCAGTTTTACAGAAACGGACTTCTGCTATCACAGATTCTGAAATCTGCTGCTCTCGTTTGACTTGCAACGGTGGTGCGTGCAATCACAGGTGCTTTTTATATCTGCACCCAGGAGCAAGGCAGCCCTTTGATGGGCTGCCTTCTGACCACTCTCTGGTCTTGGGCTTAGTTTGTGCAGCCCCACAAGTGATTGTTCCCCCTTGTTCAGGCGGCAGCACAAGTAGAATAGAGCAGATGGTTCAGCGTTGGCCAAATGCTTGCTGACGTGAACCAAATTGCTTCTGTAACCAACTGATAGGTTTCAGACTTAATTGAGGCGTTCAGTGAGGCAGTCTACAGTAGTAAATAGCATTCTGCTGAGGAAAGCAGCAGTGTAACCATGGACAAAGGTTCAGGATAGCAGAGTTCAACCCTCTTGGGGCTGTTGTTTTATTTTTCCCCGTTCCCACCATCACTTGAAAATGCCGTCCTGTTGCTTACAGATCCCAGCACGTCACGGAAGCATATTAAACCCTTTTGCCTTGGAAAGCTGGAATGGAGAAAATGAGCTTGGGATTTCTTACTTGTGACTGCAACAGCTTATGTGTAGAGGTAGCCTGACCTTGGAGCTTCCTTTTAACTGCTCTGAGGCTGGCGTCAGAAACCACCGTCAGCTAGGTCCTTCGTGATGGGGGGTCAGCTCCATTTTTCTTCTCCTTCTCAGCATTGAAATCGGCTTTTTTTTAATCATTATTTTTGCTCTTTCATGGACGTCTCTGAAAGGCTCTACTTCTGAATGCAGACCATCTATTTTTAAAGCAAGGGAGAACTTGGTGGCTGCAGGAAGATTTGTGTGGTAAGATTGTCTGAGCTGGGTCCCACCAAAGAGCAGGGCTCTTGATGCAATATGCCCCGGTGGGGGTGACGCGGGGAAGTCTGCCATGAGATGCAAAGGGAGGAATCCGGTAAATGAGATGCCTCAGCTGGTCTCTTTTGCTCCGCCATCCTCTGGTCTGTGCTTTGAATTTAATGTGCTTGTTTTATAGGACAGAGATGCAAAGTTCAGTGCAGAAGCCTATTTGTTAAGCTGGTTTTGTTAAGGCTGCGTTGTGTGATGTGCTCAGTTAGTCAGAAAAGAGTCACGTGGAGGTCGCGGGCTGCCTAGGATGGTTAGGTTATCCAGCTCTGTAGCCCATCTACCAAAAAACATTAGAAGAATAAGGGAAATTAAAATCTCTATGGAACCAACCTGTTGTTTCCTAAAGGATGCTAAAAACCCTATAATGATAGTAAATAAGTGGTGACAATATGCTACATAATTAGAAGCCATTAAAGGACAGTCTGTGTTTCAGAGAGCTTTGCAGAGGTATTTACTCAACTTGCGAATCTGAAATACATTTGAAAGTGTCGGGGGTGAGGGTTTTTAGTCTCTCTTGCTTTTTTTTTTTTAAGCTTTCCGGCATCTCCAAAATACCTTGCAAGTCTGAGCTGTTGCCATTGTGTTTTTCTTTTTTGTGTAGATTTAATTGAAATGAAAAGTATAATTAAATCAGTTATCAGAATCCTTTTGCAGCCTCTGTCCATTGCATGAGTGCTGTCACCCACCACCGTGGACAGGCAGAATATGGTATGCAGCCTTCTTTGCTGTTCTCTCCTTTACTTGTCGTGCTGGCAGTAGGGTGGGAAGGTGATTGCACATTCTGCTGAACATTAAATTAAGGCTGTTGCTGCCTTTTGGGTAGAAATGATTGATAAGCAAACAGGTATAGACGGATTTCAGGTGATTCAGGAAGGGCCGCACTGTCCAAGTGAATGGAAGGGATGTGATTTAGCATATCAGCAAAACACTTAGAAAGGGGAGCTGTGTTTGTATCATGCCATTTGTTATACTGATATCATGCAGCCTGAGGACCCCTGCTCTATTAAGGGAATGATCTTTTTTTCCCCAAAGCATCTCTAATAATGCAGCCTGTGTGCTCACAGCTGCTGCATTGGTAGGCAGTTGAGAAAACTGCTCATCCAGGTGGTTTACTCTCGTCAAAATGAAAATGGGCTTTTTGGCCCCTTTGGTCACTAGGCTAGATTTATGAATAGATAGAAGAGACAAGAGGAGATAGGAGGAGATGAGCCATAGCAAAAATTCTTGGAAGTTTCAATAACCAGCAGAGGCTTTTTGGTGGTGGTTCTAGAAATCTGAATGACGATTGAAGATTGCATCTGGCCTAACCTGGATCAATGTCTGTCTCTCTTGGGGTTATCGGGAGACATAACTCTCATCATCATTTCATCATTTTGTTGAGCTTCTAGAATTTAGTCAAGCTGACCGGCTGGGACTTTAAATGATGTTTTTTCCCCAAAGAATGCTATTTATAATCCAAGACAGTCTATACTACAGTCATTCTGAGCAGTATGGCTGTTGTGGCGGTAAGGGTTGTCCTTTCGTGTGTATGTAACACGTAGTCACTAGATTTGGAGTAGTGTTGACATTAGTAGGTATGAAGTAGAGGGTTTAGAGAGTGAGAACTCAGGAGCAGGGAGGGGAATTTCAAGGCTTTGGCAATTGTTTTCAGTATGGCTAGGAACAGCACTAGACAATTCTGAAATTTTCTACAAAAGCAAATTGTGGGAGAGTGACGGGGGAATGGGGATGTTTTGGATAGATCAAAACATTGCACTGTTGCAACATGGCAAAGCTTTACTTTAGATTTTTTAACTTTAACTTCTGTTTTAGGGAAGAATCCAATATAAAATACAAAAATACCTCTGGCTTCCAAAAATCAACATTTAATTATTCTGAAAGTTTTGAAGTGTGTGCGAGGGAAATTCTGACAGTGTCAAAACTTGTGGGTTTTTTTGCTTGCAATAAATTTTGACCAATTGATACAATTCCATCGAGTGTTACAATATCAATGGAATTGTGTTCCCCAATGGTGAGGATTTCAATTGGAGCTTTTCTTGACCATCTTTAAAATTGTTCTTAGAATGATGAGCTTTTTTTTCCTGAACTGGAGTTTGTTAGTGGGCAATGCAGTATAAAATATTTGTAGAGCAATTAATATTTACTATACTATTCCCAGCAACTAAATGGAACAAATTGCATTTTATTTAAAAGGACTTTTGGCTGTGAAAGCGGTACCTCAACTATTATCTTTGACTGAACTGCAGAGAATGGATTAGTTACAGGCCATGGATAAAACAAAGCAAGGTGCCCGGTGCTATCCTGACAGCTCATTTTCAATACTAGAGCAAAATGTGGCAGTCTCATCTCAATATTTTTATGGAATGGGATTATGAACCATCAGTTTTATACCCCTCTATTTTCAGAATTTAAGCATTGCACTTAAAATAAACAGAAAAGGAGTCAAGGATTAAAATGCAAAAGTGTTCTTTTGTAGGTCTTGATTGGCAAGTTGCTGTCCTCTGACAGTTTCCAAAGGACGATGGGATGGGCTAGCTAGAGTTTCAGTATGACTCTGTGTTTGTTTTCTTGCAGAAAAAGATTTACAAGTACAAGAAGGTGCTTAGCAACCCAAGCCGTTGGGAGGTTGTTCTGAAGGAGATCAGGACGCTGGTGGACATGGCACTCACATCTCCACTACAGGATGATTCTATCCATCAAGCACCACTGGAGATTGTCTCAAAACTGCTCTCGGAGGTATGAGCGTGGGGCCGGTCCCACCTTGTTTATTTCCCTTTGAAGAAAAAAAGCAAATCCCCCCTCTGCCCCCCCTTCCAAACAACAAAACCCCAGGACACGGTTTCAAATTGGGGACTCAACGTTCTGCTCCTGAATATAGGCCTCTGCTCCTGATTTCAGTGGGAGTCACAGTGGTTTGGAGTTGACTCATCCTCTGTAGTTTCCTTAGAAAACCACTATTTTTGTCGTCTTTTTCCTGCCCCCCCCCCCGTGGTTCACGGTTACCATTCATTTTGGGCTGATTCATGTCTTGTTTGAAGCTAGTGGCAAAGCTGCCATTCAGTGGGGGTTGGGTTGGCTGCATTTGTTTGTAACAGATCATTCTCATCCGGACCGGTAGTATGCAAGCACCATTAATTTAATATAAAGTGATTTTTCAAATGGAAAGATCTGGGAATTAGCTTCCCCTTTGCCTGTTTCAAATAGATGATCTGCTCCTGAGTGGGGTGATATCCCCATTTTATTTAGGAGCATTTGCCACCATAGTTAATCTGTTGTTCATTTAGAAATAAAGGAAGCTTTTTTTTTCTTGTTGCTCTTGGCACATGTTCACTGGTTGCTTCCGTCTGCATACAAACAGGAAATGTGATTCTTGTCAGGATTTTTTACGTATCAGATGGACCTCTGCTTTTATGTGTGCATTGGTGTTGAGTAGAAAAAGTGCTAGCTGCCTTTCCTTTGGTAAACCAAGGCGACAGCACTTCGTAACCCCATCGCTCCTTGTTGAACGGACCACGTAATACAGAGACCGCAAGCATGTTCCCTGCGGGTGTAAATTAACACAGCTCGATTGACCTCAGAGGGGCTGCTCAGTTTACATCACCTGCATTGCTGGCTTCGTGGTCCGAGATGGGAAATGCAGGAAGTTGTAGCGATTAGTTCCCTGGTACTAGTGCAGAGCAGGGATGAATGCTGTGCTTTCTTTGTCCGAAACTGAGAGTGCTTTCAAGAAATACCTGCCACTGGTTTAATTTTTCTGTTACATTAGTACTGCTCTGGTATCACAGTGACCAGTGAGCTGCTATTCCCAGGTTGTAAGTCCAGGGTGCACTGAGTGGGAGAGTCATGAAAGGGACGGAGTAGGAAGTGGAAATCAGCCCTGCTCCTGACAGCATATGTACTATGATCTGTATGAAGGGAATGATGAGTAAAGGGATGACAGAACTGGGCCCTTTCCTTTGTTCCTTTGCACAGGCTGAGGGACGGGCACTGAACATATTGCTTTCAAAATACAGTTTGCTTATTGACCTCTACTGTTTATCCCTTCCAGAACAACAGTTTAACCACTCAAGACCACGAGAGCATTATTGTGGTGAGTGTCCTACCTACCTAACGTCAAGGTTTGGGGGTCGATTCTCTTTCTGGTCAGGGGTTGGCAACATGTAGGACTGGTGTTTGGGATTTAGTTGCTGCCGTGAGTCGCTGATCACCTGCTCTCTCCCCCTCGTGTGTGCCCTGCAATCTCCACTTGTCATCACCACAAAGTACCACAAAAGCACATAGCCAGCAACAGTATTAAATTCAATAGGGATGGTAAGTGGAGGAAGAGAGCAGGGAGGAGAGAAGAAAGGCAGTGCATAGCACGGGAATGCCCTGATGCTCAAAAGATCCCTGATTGATCTGTATCAGTGGTTCTCAAATTCTTTTTTTTGCGGATCACTTGAAAATTGCTGAGAGTCTTGGCAGGCCACTTAAACTTTTTTTTTTGTTCTACAAATCAAAGCACACAACTCGTATTTTAATATCAGTAGTCTTACTGTACAAGTACAGATATTCTCGATACTTCCGCAACCTTTCTGTGGACCACCTGAATGGAGCTCACGGACCAGTGGTGGTCTGTGGGCCACAGTTTGAAAACCTCTGATCTATATGATCCATGTAGGGTTAATCCTTTTTCCAAAAGAAGCTGTTCAGGCAGCTTCACATCCTATATAAAATCTAAGGAAATATTTGGCCTTGCCTCTTATGCCTCTGAGAGCCAAACTATTGGCTTTAGGGCACAATGGTTTTCTCAGGAGATAACATTACCACTTGTAGGTACAGTGTCTGGACTATTGATATGTGAGTATATGTTTGCCTTTGCAAAGTGGGAAATATATATGTCTCTGTGGTTTTATTCCCCCAGCCACACATGCACACACATGCGCTGAAAGTGTCCTCTGCATTGTCCAATATAAACATTTATTAGAGGGGTGAAAATTGCTTCCCCATCTTTGTAATTTAATTTCAGCTGCTGGTGATTTCCAGGAGATTTTCTCGGTAATCTAATCTAGCACTTTACAACCAGGTTTCTGTGAACCTTCCTCTAAAATGACAAGATATAAAATATAGTTGCTACTATGTGTGAATTGCTCTTAAGTATGGTTCTGGATGCTACTTTAACCAGTATTGCTCACTGAAATAAGTTGCTAAAGTGATGATCGCCTTTCTTTGCAATCTGCTACAGGCTGTAGTTTTCTTCTGAACTAAAGTTGATTCCAGCTGCCAGTTGGGGCTGACTTGTTATTCTGCGGAAGCAAAAAAAATCCTTTTATTTAAACACAAAAAAACCAAAAACAAACAAACAAAAAAATCAAACCTTATTCTGTCTTTTATCTTATCCAAAGATTGTATTCCAAATGCAGGTTGATAGTTTCTAGATATTTTAAGCCCACTGCAGATATAGTATTAGTCTTGCAGTTTGCATGATGATTGCTGTTTCGTAAATTTATCAGTGATTTTTCCCTGTAGTTCAGCATTGAACAGGAAACATGTTTTTTACCTCTGAGACAGATTCTGATTCCAAACTGCTATGCTGGAACAGACCAATACTCAGGGTAGCCCATGTCCATCTCTTTGAAGGAGGGGTGGGGGGTGGAAACACACACACACACACACACACACACACACACACACACACACACACACACACGCACACACACACACACACACACACACACACACACACTTGTAGTTATTGGTATACACTAACCAATAACTACAAACGCTAACCAGTTTGGCATCGCCAAAGAACAAAGCTCTCCCGCTATCCCTAGAACAGGCATAGTTTCAGCAGAAGAGCAAGTTTTAGAGAGATCACTGGGTACCTAGGTGAGAAAATCAATGTGCCTTTCAGTCTTTGTGTTCTTGGGATAATTCCCTTGTGACATGGATGTCTGTCCAGTTAGACAGTAAAGCTGATTTGACTTGGGCAACAAGGCTGCCTACAGACATACCCTCCCCCCAAACCAGTGCTTTACTTTAAACTTGGTGTACCCCTGTGCTGAGCCCAGCACATGCCCAGAAAGAGGCATTGTGTTAGCTTGACCCGGCTCACCCAACATCTGGATAGATTGCACACTTAAGCGGGGCTTTTTGGAAATGTATCTAATAACTGATTGAATCTGCTTTAGATAAAAGCACTAAAAAGCCCCGCTAAATCACACAGTCTATATAGATGGTGCAGAGCCAGGTCAGCTAATGCACTGCCTCTTCCGGTAAAGTGCATTTTAGGAGGGCGGGGGGTTCATGTCTGTCAGCAGCCTATGTGGCCAGTTTCACCTCTAATCATGATTATCCAGTACTCTCTCTGTCAGTTGACAAGCATAGAGCTCTTCCAGTGATTTTGCAGTATATTGTTGGAGTCCATAGAGTCACTATAACACATTTGATTAAGAAGATAGTTTTAGATGGGATCTGCAGGCCTTGCTGGAGTAATGAGTAATATAAGCACCGATCAATGCATATACAACTCATTTATAGGCTTTGCTGGCAGTATTGACCATGTAAATGGCTGGTGTAAACAGAACTGCTAACTTTGTGTATAAGAGAAGGCCTGGTATTCTTTGAACTCTGTAGTTCAAAGGGCCAGAAGGATAAAAGCTATTACAAGGTGTACCTGTGCCTCACCACCAGGATCCAGGGCTAACTTCTTGTAACCCGGTGGATAGACATGTTAGCAAGGCTAACGCAGCTAACCACCTATGTAGGTAATAAACCCCGCTGAGCTTTTGCCACTGAACCAAGCCTTGTGGTCAATTCTTTGTGTAACACCCAGGTCTCCAAGGAAACAGCTTGCACGCCCCAGCACCACCATCCGCACTAGAGACAGCAACTTGTACACAAAGAGCTACATTGACTAAGAGAGAACATGGAGTAACAACAGGATCCTTAATTTAGCTAACTGCGCAAAGGGTCTTTTCCAGCTGAATGTTACAACCATGCAGCATTGGTTTCTTGTGACTCCAATAAGAGTATGTCACTATCCTTCCATGATCAGTGGAGGCATAGAGAGGTGGTTAGCTGTGTTAGTCTCAAATCAGAAGGCAGGGTAGATATGCACCTTTATAGATAACTAAATAAGAGATGCATCGAGCACAAGCTTTTGTGAACCCAAGTTCGCTTCATAAGGTGCTGTGAACTTGGATTCTTAAAAGCTTGTGCTCTATCTATCTTATTTAGTTGGTCTATAAAGGTCTGTATTCACCTTGCCTTCTGAATGGAGGAATAAACAGTTGTAAGGAGGGGAGGAGCACAAAGGCCAATTTTAGCTGCTTAAAGTACCCTGCTTTCCATTGCATATTATGGGTAAAAGGTGGGAGAGGGGTTTTATATTCATTTGTCTGGATTTTCGTCAACATTTATTACAGTGATTTCAGTTATTTAATGTAGGTGTAGTGTGTAAGACACCTTCATTTTGTAACCTCCTTTGTGAGGGAGGAGGAGGCAAACATTGTATATACTGGGAAATGGAGCATTATGTAGTGTAGCTCTTTGACTATGTTTAGGTTTCGTTTTCTCCCTTCCCAGTTATCTCCGTATGAGTAAAAGCAGGTGTGTAGTGAGGCATGGTGATTTTGATGGGCTTATGTGGACTGAGGATGAAGGGGCAGACGTACTGCTGTAGCCAAACTTCCAACCTCCTTTAGATAAAATTCCTGGTGTGCAGAAATTTGATACAAAATGTCCTGGTGGATCTGTTAAGAGTGTTACTTTTTAAATCAGTACTGGGAATCCCTTAGTTCAAGATTGGTGAAGCCTGGAGGCATCATAAAGCAGAGAGGATACATTGTCCTAATACCACTTTGTAAAGTTAGAAAGGAGGTAGTAGCAGAATAATTTCATTACGCTCACAGTGGTAGGTATGACCTCTAATATATTTACTGTACATAATCGCATTGGGTTGCCTAGTGATGGAGACAGAAAGGATGATCTGAACTTTCAGAAAGTTCAGCGCTTGTTTTTAAGGAGTAGTGTCCATGGTGGTAATGGCAACACTGTCTTGTTCTTGGTAAAATGAAAGGCAAGTACTTTTTCCTTGAAAACATGGCCTGTGTGTCAGTAACTGAGCATGAATGTATTATATAAGAAGTGGGGAAAGTGTGGGTGTGTGTGTAAGATCTTATTTATAGGGACATTGACACTTTAATCTTGTGCCTCATTTGTTTTTATGTCGTACTTCTAAAAGCAGTGGGTCCATTTCTGCTTTTGTTTAAATCACTTAAAAAACTGGAGTTCCATTTATCTTCAGTGGTGTTGCTCTGGATTTAAAAGTAGTGTACTAGGGAGCAAACATTTTCCAATGGGTCCATCAATTTTAAAAGTGCAGTAAGCCTTAATTTCTTTATTTGGGATAAACAAGCCCCGCTTTTTTCTTTATTTTTTTAAATGTATGCAATAATACAAATATTACTATTCTCTTTTAAAGTCCTAACTTTATGTCCCATTAAAATTAGCTACAGTTTTATTCAGGTCTCTGTTTTAAAATGTCTTCAGTTTTGTACTTGTTTAGTAGGGCTGACCTCTGTGACAAAGACCAATTGAAATCCTGTTAACTTTTTTTTTATTTTTAAGGCAATTGCACCTTTGCTGGAAAATAATCATCCTCCACCTGACCTCTGTGAATTCTTCTGCAAGGTACCAAGAACAGATTAATTGTCTGAAATCTCATGGATGTTTCTGACTACTTCTTTTTCCTTGACCCTACTGAACTGATTCCCCAGACAGTTTCTGTCTTTGATGGGTAGCAGACCTTGGAATAGTTAGTGACTGCAATGGAGTAATGGCTCCCTATCTACTGCTCAGTAGTAATACACTGTGAGCGTTTAATCCTCAGATTTCCTCATCCCGAAGTGGAAAGCAGAGACAGCTCACTGCATGTTCCCTAGCTAGCCATGGGGTCACTGGAGCCAGCACATTCAGATGGACCATAATAATTCAGTTCAGTGCAGGCCAACTTTTTTGGCAGGATTGCTACATATTAGTCCTGCACCATCTGAGTGCCATTCTGATCCCTTCCCCTACCTCATCTGCTGTTCTGCTTTCTGTTCCCTGCCCTGTCCTTTGTACCTGAACTGCTCCTCTGTCTTTTGGCTTCCTACCCTTTGTTCCTTGCCCAATTGGCTGATTGCTTCCTGCCCTGTCTGCTGCTGTGCTACCTGTCCCCTACCCAGCCAGCTGCATGCTACACACACAGGTTGCCTGTGCCATTTGTGGCACGTGTGCTGCAGGTGGGCCACCCTGATCTAGTACATGCTCTGTGTTGCTTTCTTCCTTCGAGGCTCCATGTGTGCATAGGTAGAATTATGAAACCAGCTGATCGAACATTAATTTTACCTGTTAACCAGCCCAAAGGCCAATGTCTGACCTCAGGGTCACATGTATCCAAGGCCCAGTATGGAACCTGGATCCACACTGTCAAAGATGTTGAGGTGTTCAACTCCTATTGATCCTGGTAGGATCTAGGTGCCTGAGTGCCTCCGAGAATCTGGGCCATGACAAATCACTGTAGTATGTGTAGATCAGGGATGGGCAAAATATGGCCCGCAGGCTGGATCCGGCCCACAGAAGGATTTTTTTCTGGCCCGTGGTGGGTCCCTCGGTTCCACCTGGTGCCAGGTGCCATCCGGCCTGTGGCACATCCCACTGCGCCTGGTCACAGTGGGGCTGAGGTGGCTCCACAGCTTGACTCCATTTCCTGGCAGCCCCCTGTGGCAGTGGCTCCGTCTGGCAGCTGCCACTGCTGGCCTCAGGCCCATGTAGACCTGCCACCTGGTCCCACTTCTTCCCAGTGCCCAGCAGCAGTTCCTGCCCAACTGCTGATGCCAAAACTGGACAGCAGCTCTACCCCCTCCTCAGGGTAGAAGGGCTGCCCAGAGGCGGTGCTGGTGGTGGTGGGGGCCCTGGCTGACCTGCCCTTGCTGAAGCCAGCTCCCCACCCACCTACAGCCCCATCCCACATTGGGAGGTTTGCTCACTGTTGTGCAAGGGAGGGAGGTTCTGACCTGGGCTGCAGCTTCTTAAAACTCCCCATGTGGCCGATGGGCCCACATTATTGCCCACCCCTGGTATAGATGCTCTAGTTGTACACTTCATCCTGCTGTCTGTGTGCTGCTGCTGCTGCATTCACACACGTTCAATGTTTCTCATTGTAGCACTGCAGGGAGCGTCCTCGGTCCATGGTTGTCATTGAAGTCTTCACACCGGTGGTACAGAGGATCCTCAAACACAACATGGTCAGTATTTAAGTTACGGGTATTTAATGAGTTGAGAGCTTTCATTGTGATGTCTTATGTCATTAGCAGCCATCAATTATTTGCCTCCTTCTAATAATGCATCCCCAGAATACCTAGCCACCCTACCTATGTGTGTGGTTTGTAGCCATGCACTGAGTTTGTGGTACCTACCTTTTGGCACTCGAGTCAGATTTTCAATGGCATCTAGACAGTTTAGGCATTCTACTCCTACCAGCTTTCAGTGGGAGTTAAGCATCAAACTGCTTTAGATGCTTGGGTGAAAATCTTACCCACAAGTGTCAGTGGTGATCCATGATTTTTGGCACATACTTTATAATAATGTCTGTCAATGAATGTCATAAAGTGCAGCCACCTCAGGAACAGAACGTAGTATCCGATTAATGCAGCCCAGTAATATGGAAGCCTACCTGCCTTTTTCTGTAATCACAAGATGCTTTTGAGCCATCTGGAGCATGCCCAGTGTGGCTGGCACGGCTTCTAACTGGCACGAGTAGTTTTTTACTGCACAAAGGTACAGTTTGCAGGAGAAAAATAAGGTTTGGGCCATATTGCTGTGATAGCTGAGTTGGATCCCGTGCCTTTATAACTGCACAAATGGTCTCTTTTCATGTCTATTATAATTTGAGATGACATCCCCTGCCTTTCTGGGTCACAATATGCTTTCAGAGAAGATTTTATATTTTGTATTTACACAGCATTATTGTTGTTGTTGTTGTTGTTGTTGTTAATATTATTATTTAAACTCTTAGACTTTACAGAACTAACTAGTGAGCTCGACATGGCTGAAAGGCCATATTCTTGGCTGCATGCCTACCGTCTCCAGACATGTAAACATTTTTGAATATTCTGTAGCGTTCAATAAAATATTCTATAAATGTTATTTTTGGATGCCAGACAGTTTAAAAGAAATCCAAAGCTCTCGAGTGGTCTCAAATGAAATTGAAACACACACAGCATTGCTTGTCTTTGGTTAACTTAAGAGAATTGCACATATTTACCATACTTAGCAATTGCAGATTGAAAATCAACATGTCTGTACCACAATGTGTAGTCAAAGAATTTACAGTGTCAAATATTAATTGGAGTGGATTTGGACACTTTACTGCTCTCTGGGGAATTAATATAATGAATAAACTCTTTAGCGGGAGAGTGAGTGAGTGTCTGTGTGTGTGTCTGTGTGTGTGTATATAAAAATGCCCTTTATGTGGGGAATGCTGTTGCCAGCATTACATTTCAGAGTTGTAGGAGGCCACATGAAAATCCAGCAAGCTGGGAGTCAGGAAACCTAAGTGCTATTCTTGGCTCTGTCATTAATTTGGTCTGTGCATATGGACACTTCACCCTCTGTGCCTTGATTTCTCCATCTATAACATGGAGCTAATGCTACTCCACTTTCCTTTTGGAAAGGTTTTGAAATCCATGGAGGAAACCTGTAACAGCTAAATCACTGTCTAATTTTGATGCGCACCAATGTTAACTGTTATCTGCAAGGCAACAGGCTGGATCCTGTCATAGGCTAAGTGTTCCTTGGAGTGCTGAGCAGCCTCAGTACCTTTGCCTTCCAGGAGATGCTTGGCTGCTTGCCAGATTGGGCCAAATGTTGGAATATAAATGGACTTTTTTGTGTGTCTTGCTCTCAGTTAATGCAGACATTTGGCTAAGCCAAGTAATTAAGCTAGCCTAATATATTGAGTTGAGAACTCTGCCTACAGCTCACAGTTGACTGCTTTGGTTTTGGTGGGTTTTTGGAATGTTAGAGGATATACTGAGTAATTTACATCCATATATACACAAGAAAACTCATTTTATCCAGGGCTTCTTGTGCAGCCTTTGAGTAGGGGAGCTTAGCTCTCATGTTTTTGTTAATGTGAATGAAGCCAGCGGATGCAATTACAGACTTATGTACAGTAAAGCCATTGGATTTCTGCAAACACTTCCAAGTTGTCATGTTTTTCTGGGTACGCTTTCCTCCTCCAAACCACATCACGCTGTAGCCTGCAAGGTTCTACCATTTGGTGGGCCACCTTATAAAACAGGCCTGGGATTTTTAAAATTACCCGGTGAGCCTTTGAATAGTCATGAAATTGTATGCTCAGCTGGCATGCTGCAGGCACAACTATTGCAGCTGGGAGTCATGAACCATTGGACCAATTTACCTGCTGACAGGATAGGATGGAGGCTTCGTGGCTGGAAGTTGTAAAATCAAGACTGGGATGAAATAGATGTTAAAGAAGTGACAGCAGTGGGACTCAAACCCATGTAGCTGGAGAGCTTGAAGTCTTAATGCAGCACCTTAGCCACACAACCAGTAATACAGAAGCAGAATTTATGGGCACGATGCAGAAATTGGTGGGTTGAGGTTTTGTGAGAGTTATGCAGGAGATCAGAGGAGATGATCATAATGGGTTCCCGCTAACCTAAACATCTGTGAATGTATGAACTGCGCAAACACTGATGGGAATTAAACAGTTATAAAATCTGGCTATAATTGTATAGAGATTGTATAATTGTAATTTATTCCCAGTTTCATTTATTTAATTACACATTAGGAAGACACAAGCCAGTGTGTCTCAAACTACTAAATATTACAGGTGGGTAGCAGCAGTTTGATTTTCTTTTAAAACATAGAAATTGGGAATGGTGTAGGTTTTTAATTTAAAAGTGTGAATTGATCACTAGAATCAATAATGAGAATTTTTAGGTTTGTTTTGCAGGACTTATATTTTTTCTCTGAAGCTAAGCTTCTCTCGTAGCTGTTAAACATGAACAATATAGATCATGTATATTTATTTTATAATCTGCTTCCATGTATGGTATAAAAAAAGATGCAGTGCTTTGAATGAAGGGATAGTCCAGTCCACACCTAAAGCCTCTTTACAGTCTCTGAACTTCAGGGCTAAATACAGACAGTTAAAATGCCTGAGGCTGAATCGATTCAATCTTCCCAGGTTAGTCTAAGTTGCATAGATTGAACTGGTAAGCAAGTGAACAGACATTCACTTTTGATTCCAGAAATGCAGCCACATCCCTGCAGTGGCCCAGGCCAGAAGCTGGGGAATGCTAGAACATGCCTCCCTGCTCGGCTGGAGCAGACGGCTTGGGCCAAGGCTGGTCTGCCCACCCTGTGAGGAGGGGGTTTGTGGGGGAGGTGCAAAGCATTGTGAGATGCTGGGGGAGTGTGGTTAGGGACAAAAATTGCACCAAAATCAGTATGTCAGGGGTTTTCAACCTTTTTTTAACAAGTGTACCCCTTCTGTCTCAAAGTTTCAGCTCATGTACCCCTTTATATTTTTTTCTTGTTTTTAATATTACCATTAACAGGAGGCAGGGAAGGAGCGTGTGGGGGGCAGATCGAGGCCCCCGCTGTGAGGCCCCAGCCCCCCTCCCTCTCTCACTGGGGACTTCAGTCTGGGCCCATGCCCCTTCCCTCACAACAGACTTACAGGCCAGAGCCGGCTGCTGTCCATGCTGCCAGGCTACGCTTCTAGCCGCCTGCCTGCTGCGCTGCGGCTGCATGCATGCATGGGTCATTTATCAGCCACAACAGCGAAAAAAAAGCTGATTGCCAATTCAGTCAGTGTTCCTTATATTGTTGCCAATCCAATACGGGACCGATGTTTCAGTGCACCTCTATAAAACAGTAATTTTTTCTCATTTGTTTTGCATACCCCCATGACCTTTTAAGTACCTTTAGGAGTACATGTATCCCCAGTTGACAACCACTAGTATAAGTGATTGGAAACTGGTTCAAATCTGTAACACAGCAGAAGTTCGGTGCACATAAACCACTTTCAAAATGGCCAAAACTTGTATAAGGTAAACCTGGATGGATGTAGTATCAGACATAGCTGATTTAGGTTAAGTTGATTTATTGAACTTCTGTCTGGGATCCCTTCCAGATTCAAACTGACCGTCAGTCCCTCAGCATCCCAGGATGCTTTGCACCTCCTTTGCAAAGTCCTCGTTCACTTGGTTCAGATACCAGCTTAGACTAACCTGCAAAGATAGAATCGATTCAGCCTCAGGCTTTTTGATTGCCTGTGATTTAACTTGAATCTGGAGGGAATCTGGGACAGAATTTCAATAAACTGATTTAATCTAAATCAGTTGAATCTGATATTACATCCCTCCAAATTTATCTTAAACCAGTTTCAGCCATTTTGAAAGCATTTTCTGTGCACTGAACTTCTGTTGTGTTACAGATTTGAGCTGGTGTCCGATCGCTTATACGGATTTATTTGTAAATTCTGCCCCTAACCCTGCTCTCATTTCAGTTGAGCAGCTTTAATAAATGCATTGTATTAGAGCCTGATGAATACCATTAAAAATGACAGCCAGAAAATACAGAGATGGTTAGCCATGTTAGTGTGAACTCAAGCAAAAGGTAGGGCTAGGTTGACACTATAGAGACTAACTGGCTCAGATGCATGAGCTTTCATAGGCAACAACCTACTTTGTTAGCTGCTTTATCATAAACGTAGCCAATCCATTGATAGCATCTGTCAAAATAGGTTGTTGCTAATGAAAGCACATGCCTATCTGAATCAGCCAGTCTCTGAGGTACCACCCTGCCCTGTCGTCTTCATAAAACTGTCTGACTCATAATGGTGGCTGACTTGCAATGTACATGGGTCTAAGTCTCCTGGTGAATCAATCATGACCCAAATATGCTGCTGTAAGCCAAAGGCGTTTAGATGCATAATCATTAATGTATCTCCTTGTGCCAGGTATGGAATCATCCTTAGTTCCATTGCTGAGTGATATTGCCAAATACTAATTCAGCATTCGAAAAAGACAGGACTTAGACTTTCAGAGCATACTTCTGAATGCTACAAAAACCCTGCATTTGTAAAGGAAACCCTGCATTAAAATATGATCACTCAGTTCTCAGTATTTAGCATTGGCATCCCATCCACGCAACATGCACATGTAGGTGCAAAAGAGAGACTGGGCAAGGACAAATGGGAGCTCTTGTGTATATGCATCTTATTTGCATGGAAAGGCATGTTTTTCACATAAGTGTATGTTTCAAAGATGCGTCTTGGGCAGCAAAAATTGAAAATGGGGGACAATCATAATTATTTATATGGCTCATCAGAACAGTTGTTCTCCTAAAGCTGTTAGCATGACAGTGAATTGAATTCAGATGCGCCTGGGTTGACCATTGTTAAAAACACTCAGTTCATACATTGCAGGCATGTTTCAGCGGCTTCACTGAGTCTCTCCTTTTTGGACAGGATTTTGGGAAATGCCCTCGATTGAGGCTGTTTACTCAGGAATATATTTTGGCTTTGAATGAACTGAATGCAGGCATGGAAGTGGTGAAGAAGTTTATTCACAGGTGAGTTGCATTTAATGCTGTGCAGCATTCTCCAGCCCTGTGAATGTGTTCGTCTTTGATATTGTTCTATTCTTCTTTTTGGCTACATTCTCCTCTTTGACAGCCATAGAGTAGCTGGTGGTTCTGGAAATCGCTAGAAGCACTAAAGGCCCCTCAGATGAAAGTTTTCCCCCTTGGACCTGATTTAACGCCAGTTGAAGTCCTCAGGAGGACTCCCACTGGCTGTGGATCAGGCCCTTCAGTCAGTGCCCACTCATTTATGGGCTTTTACTGGGCAAGTGTTGCTGCACTAAATAAAAGTCAAGAGCAGTCCAACCAAATTCTGAAGCAGTAGCATAGTGGGGAGTCTCTAGTGTCAAATGAAGGGTGTTTTATGAACTCAGCTCTCCTTGAGTTTCCCAGAGCCTCTGTCCCCCATTCTCAGATGCTAGCCTGCCTAACTGTTTTTGCCTATAGAGACTTTCATTACCCTGATTTTCTCTTGTCTTTGCTTCCTTGTGCTGACACTGTTTTGTTTTATTTTGCAGCATGCATGGTCCCACTGGACAGTGTCCCCATCCTAGGGTCCTGCCGAATCTCGTTGCTGTCTGCTTAGCAGCCATTTATTCATGTTATGAGGAATTTATCAACAGGTCTGTATAACTTCTCCAATTGCCAGTCTTCCCATTTACAAACCCTCTGCAAGCATCAGTGTGCATGTATGTGTGACCATTCATGGGACTCCAGGCAAGGGCCAGGGTGTGTCAGGTAGCCAGTTGCATGTTTTTGAGTTTGGATTTCATTACAGCTTTGCATGACTTGAAGGGGAAGCTTCATTCTCCTCACCTTTGTTTAACTGGCACGTTGGTTGGACTGACAAAGAGTACAAATCCTCATGGAGGAGAAGGGCCCATGGAGGAGCGTCTGGAACATGAATAGTTTTCATTAGTTTTGCTAATCAAAATAAACAGAAGAGTGTAATCATTTGGGCTGGTGTAAAATACAGTGGGCAGTTGTGAAAGAGCTTGGCCTCTCTGTCTAGTGCTTCTCCCTTACTTCCCCTCTCTCCCTTGTGTTATGTCTGACTATTAACATTATTTGTTTATCTTAAAAATCAGCCGAGACAATTCTCCAAGCCTGAAGGAAATTCGGAATGGCTGCCAGCAGCAGTGTGACCGGAAGCCTAACTTACCCCTGCGGCTTCTCCACACGAGTCCTGACCTGGTCTCTCAAGAAGTCGCTTTGACCGAATCCCGCCTCAAATCAGTCATCGTCACTTCGAACGAGATCCATGTGGAAGTGGAGCGCAACAATACGGCCAACCAGAAGTTGACGGCAAATGTCGGCAACGACAGTGAGCCCAACCTGATTGACTGCTTGATGGTCAGCCCCACTTGTAGTACCATGAGCATCGAGCTGAGTGCCCAGGCAGACAGGATCCTTGGCTGCTATGTGGAAATACTCAAGATGCTGTGAGTAGCTATTTTTATAGCTTTCTGAACGATGTCATCTTAACGATAGGGGGTTTTCCCAGAGGTCTGCCTCCTCCAACATGTGTGTGGCCAACAAGATGTGCAAACACAGGGTTATAAATCCAGCACTAGCAGTAATGTCCAATGGCTGAAAGAGACATCTGGTGCTGCCAATAACTTCTAAAAATAGCATTACAAGGATGAAAATGGAACGCTGTTCTGTATGTTGAGCCTCGAGCATATTATAAAAGAGAGGATATTGTTGCTGGAAGCTTTTGGTCTTCTGTTACCCACAAAGCATTCCCATTTCTTCACTCCAGGCCACTTGGGATTATCTAACACACATTTCTGAGGGTGGGAAACTGGATCTCTTAAACTCTTTCTTTAGCTTTAAAAGACGGCTCACATTCGCTCTCAGTGGTAACAACAGGACCTTCCATTGACTTTCAGCGAGTGAAGTCAGTGTCTCTCAAACATGCAGTTCTTCACAGGATTGGGCCCTGAGACTCATATAGCTCACTATACTTGTGTTTTATGCATGGTTCTAACTTCCTTCCATTGTGTTAACTGCTATTTTTGGACCTTCTCTTTGGTTCAACCAAATCCCACTTATGTAGAAGAAGCTTTACATTAATAAATGACCACTCAAGGGACCATTAATAAGTAATTGCTCAGTGGAGGGTGGGCCTTGTAATGAAGATAAAAATAATTGTTCTCAATCCACTTGAGAACAATTGGCATGGGTCTCCCAAGAGGTGGACTAGCCTGATAAGGCTAGCCTTTTGGAAAGGTTTCACTGTAGCGAGCATACCTTCAGCGGGGCTTTATACTGGGAAAGGATTTTCAGAAATAAGTGTTTTTGGGGGATCCTAGTTTATCAGCTGGTACCATGTGATACATTATAGAGCAGAGAAATTACAGGGAATATGCATTCAAATGGTGAGCAGTCTCACCCAAGGGAAGCTGCACGTCAAAATTCCTGAGTTTTACAGTCGGCTCTGCCCCCGAGCTGTAGTGTGGCCCTGGGCAAACCATGGAAGTTTCCATATGTTTAATTTCGTTTTAATAACACAAGCTGTTACAATGCTTCCTTAAATGCCTGAATGACAAGGTACTGTGGGTGCAATCCTGACCTCATTGAAATCAATGAGACTTACTTCAGTAAGTCCAGAGTTTCACCAGCAAGAAGTGTGGGTAGTTAATGGGCACTCCAGGGAGTGGGAGAACTCCACATGAAATGGTTGAGGACATCCCATAAATAACCACCAGCAGCAGACTGTGATTTCAGAACTGTGAATATTTCAGCAGGTTTGTTTGTGTAGTTGCACTATTTGCACATGTATGTGGAGTAATTATGCACTCAGATAATATGCACACCCTGAAAATCTGGGCCATAATTTTTGCTGACAAGGCATGTAGATCCAAGGTAGTGTTCTTATTTTCTGAAGCAACAACCTGCATTAGAGAAGATTTTCTTTGATTTCACCTGGCCTTTACAAACATTTGTATTGGATCAGCCCTGCAATTGATTTTGCTTTACCTGGGCTGCTTACAGACATGACCATCCCCCCCCAAATGCTGCTTTACTTTAAACTCTGTGTCCCCACGCTGAGCCCAGCTCATGCCCAGAAGAAGCATCACGTCAGTTTGACCCAGCTCACCCTATGTCTGTATAGATCAGGCAATTCAGTGGGGCTTTTTGGCGCTTTTATTTAATAGCTGATTAAATCGGCTTTAGATAAAAGCGCCAAAAAGCCCTGCTAAAGCACATAACCTATACAGATGCTGAGGAGCCAGGTTGAACTAACGCACTGTCTCTTCCAGTATAGTGCAGGGTTTGCTGTTGGTTTTTTTTTCTTTATTTTTTTTCCCTCATGTCTGGCATCACCCCTGATGTCTTGTGAGCCTGCGTGCACCCAGGTGATGCATGAGCCATGCTGCATATTCATTCCAGTCCCCTTGACTCTTGATATTTTTCCATAAACACCTTGAACTCCCAGTCCCAGCGCTGTCTTAGGTGCTGACTCATTTTTCTCATTAAGTGTCAATGGTTTTGGTTTCATCATGCAGCTGACACACGTTTTATAAATACATTTACAAATGGGTGTGCTCTTCCACACAGGCTGTCCAATTTTCACATTATCCTTATAATGGAAGTACACAACTCTAATCTTTTACACAAAACACTACTATTTGTTGGTACGTCATACAGTGATCTACAGCTTGATGTGACGTGGCCCTTGGATGTTTTTACTTTTTGTAAAATTAAGCTCTTCAGTAGTATCAGTGCACTGGGTCCATTATTGTAGTAGCACAAGGCGCTGTTTATGTCCATGTGGTCCTGTAGAGCTGATGAATTGGCCACCCTGGAGAATGAAGCCCACAGAATGGATACAGCCCATGAACAATGGGCACACCAAAACCAGTTGGAGTTTCCTGCAACTGTCTTGCTAATGTGGCCCAAGCCAGCTGGTATAAATCGTAGCACCAGTGACCTGAGTGCTTCGCCATTCCCATTCAGGCCCCTCACTCTGCTGAACTTGAGGCACTAGACTGGGACTCAGGAGCCTGGCTGCTATTCCTGGCTTTGCAACGGACTCGCCAAGCAACTTTGGACCAGTCACTTCACCTCTGTGCCACAGTTTCCCCATCTGAATGATGGGCATCACTATTCTGAATTCCTTTGTAGTGTGCTGTGGGCCCTGTGGATGAAAAGCACTAGAGAAGAGCAAGGGATTATTAGTGAGCTGTTAATAGTGTTGTTAACAGTGTCCTCTCTGGGGCTGGGATTTTTCCTCAGACTCTTGAACAATGTGCAGTAAAGTCCATTTCAGCTTCCTTAGAAATGGCGAAAGGGAAGGGAGGGAAGAACATCCCAGCAAGAAGAAGATACTAATAGGTTATTTATTATGAACCCACAGTCATCTAGGACTGGATTAGAGGTCTCAGTAGGCAGTTGCTAAAATAAGGTCCTTATTTATGTTTGGCTTACAGTTATTAATAAGTTGCTTAGCACTGAATATAATTGTCCTTTTAGGTGTCTGACTCAATACACCATCAAAACAATACAGTCACCAATAATAATATCTTTCTTACATAATTAACTTGGGGCAGCAAGGAGTAATTTTATTTAGGTTTATTTTAATTATTCAGAGTCTGACAAATAATAATCCCATAACAATATGTTCAGCAGAGCACATTTCTAGTTCTTCTCTCCCGTGGACACAATCCACTTTTGAATAAAAAACCTCAGAGACTGATTAAAATTGAATAAAAGCTATGTAGTGACCTCTAGATACCTCGTGCTTGTTGAAACAGAAGCCTGAACACCTGTTTGACAAAATTTGGCTCTAAACAAGCTTGTTTGCATCTTCTACTTCTGTGATAAAATCAGGAGCATTTGAGGATCCAAATAGGTCCCTTTTTAAAATTCACCTGAGTGGCAAAAAGGTCGTCATCCCATAATAAATGAAAAATATTCTTATTGCTTTACAGAAAGTGGTAGATGAGCAGAAAAAATATATTGCATTCCAGTTGACATTGTCACTTTTTCAAAAACTGTCCAGACTACAGCAGGTGAGCAGGAGCTTGGACAGATTTTGAAGAAACTATAATGTCAACTGGAATACCTTTATATTTTTCCTACCTTCAGTGATGAATCAAGTTTTGTCAAATAGATTGTAGTAGATCCTGGACCTTGCCAGTATGGTCGATACCACTCAGCCCCTCCTGAATACCAAGTAGTCTTGAATGTGTACTTTGAAGCTGATTGAAGTGTTGTAGCTCAAAACATTCATTCAGAGTATCTGGGAGTTGTTTAGCATTGTCCAGTTCCAGTGTAAATGATGGTGTTTCCCTTTCCTGTATAGCAAAAATTGTTTCTTTTGCTTAGCAGTGCATAGAGCATGTTTACTGCTTGATGGTCATTCTCCAGCTGCAAAACTATAGGTAAGGACGCATTTGATGGCAAACAATCCGGTATCGCTTCTCCAGATGCCCGCAGTTTGACCAGCTTCAGGCTGCTGGTAGCTGTGCGGCAGTCTGCAGAATTGCTTGGGCTTCAGATTTGTCAGGAGTTCTCTTCGGAAATAAGTATGTTACAAAAATATGAACAGAAGGGAAGAAAATTGTATCCCCAAAGTCCTGTTTCTGATAAAATCTGGCATCCACCTGGATGATAAATCAGTGGAACTAGAAGGGAAACCAGCTGCATGAGCAGGAGCTGCTGAGAGAGGTGGCAGCCACTATGGTGATAAATTTCCAGCTACCATCTTTGCTCTTTGTTAGTGTGAACCATGGTTGTCCCGCAGGTGCCAAAAACCTGTGCTACTGACTTAGGCTGTACATGTAACATGTACAGGTCATAGTGAATCTGCAGGGCTGCCTGCGCAAGCCTGCACTTCTGCTGACTGCGCTGTATATCTTCTGTGAACACTAGAGGACTTGGCGTTCCAGAGCTGTCAATCCGGCACCTTTCAGCAGCACTAAATTTTGCTTTCTATATAACAAAACACTGCCGAATGTGCGAGGCTCGTGGCTCCTTTCCCCACAGCACTAGCAGCATTGTATTACTGATTCCAGCAAGAGCTGGGTAAAGTGATTTCATGCCCGCCAACCCCAAAGTTACGATCCAAGTCAGGATCAATGCTGTCCAAGTCTGGCTGAGTTTAGACTTGTGGCCTCTGGTTCAGGGATCATCTTTCTGTTCAATACCTAATTAACTATCCAGGAGATGTTGTTGCCTAGCTGTGTAATGGCACTGCTATTAGAAGAAACAAATTACCTCCAAATGGACAAACACACCTTGGAGTTTGCTGTCTCCTAATGATAAGGGCAGTGGTTCTCTCCCTTGCAACCCTCTGCTGTGCCTTCCTCAGCCTTCTCCGCATTCCCCTATATGTCAGTGCCATATAGCGAATACCCCAAGCGGATTCTCTGGTGCTCTGTTTATCAGGGTTGCCCGGGGCTGCTAATATGTTTTGGATTGTTTGGGCTGCACATGACATACGGGCAGATTTTCATTTTGGTGAAAGGTGATACCAGGGAAGAAAGAGCGTTATGTTTAACGGGCG